ATTATAATAATAACTACTTATTAACCGAGAGTGAGGTCTTTACGGGAAAATCTCAGACCGAGACCTTGCCGTATTGACCGAGCGATAGCGAGGTTAATATGGCCGGGTCGAGATTTGAGATTTTCCCGTAAAGACCGAACATTCGAGGTTAATAAATTGTTTATAATACAGCTTTTTGCTCTGTCTTTGCAGGCCCGTAATCGGTCCGTGGGCATTACAGGCGAATTATGTTCTACAGTTAGCCAATCGGAGCGCACGTTAGATCGGCTACAAACATAAACTATATCATGTAATAATTGTAAATAATGCACTCATGTTGTTTTCAATTTGAAATTGAAGTTGCGTTAAAGTATCAACTAGACAGCGAAAATTATCGTTAAACGCTTGAAAAGCGGCATGGTCATTTTAGAAGAGGAAAGTTCTTGTTCCTAGAAACTAATATATAGATTTAGCCAAGCTTAAAAGCGGTCTCCTGGGGCCCGTTTCTCAAAAGACCCGGAAACTTATCGAGCCAGCAAAGCCATTTTTAATACATCTGTATCCAAAAGCAGAGAGGAATATACGCCTGAAACTTCTTGTATGAAGAGAACCTCTTTTCATATTAAAAATATGTGAAAAAAACAGCTCTGTAATCATAAGTTTGAAATTTTGCTAAGGTTTCCGAGTGAGAAAATATTTCGGGACCTTCGAGAAATGGTCCCAGGGCCAGGTTGTTCAAAGCTCGATTAAGCTAACCCAGGATAAGCAAGAATTTTCATTTGAGTTTTGTAACTTTGCGGTGAGGCTTTCTGTATTTTGTTTGGCCTTCTTTCTGAGTTTGAACAATCTCAAAATACACAAATCAAAAGCTGGGTTAGCGTTAACCGGCTTCCGAACAACCCGGCCATGTTTACAACAAGTTAACCTGATATGAACCAATGATCCAATCGTAAACCAGCACTTAGTCAGCAGTCAACTTAAAAAAAAAAAACACTTGACCTCAATGAGCTGAAAATTTGAGCCCGCGATATGATCACGTCATACTCGTCAGCGGATACCTTGTTTTGACAGGTGTCAATTGACCATAATATGGATGTCCAATATCAAAGAACGACGTTAAAAACCAAGGCTGTATGTCTCTTTCAACCTATTAGCTGGAGTATGGCTGCCATCTTGGGCAACTCCGCCGCCGTCGTGCGTACGCGCCCACGAACAACATCGCTAGCCATGCTAACCATGAGAAAATCAATCCATGGGTTTCCTTTTCTTTCCTTTACGAGTATGGGGCTCCGCCTGGCGGCCCTTAGGGCGCTATTAGCAGGATTCTGAAATTACTGGAAAACATTACGGCTTGGCATAGCTGAAGCTAGCGTCGCAGTTGAAAATATACAATAAAAACCGACGTGTAAGATCCAACCAGAGGTCGGGCAAAATAGGTTCGTGTATTTTGTGTTAGTTGTTGGCAATTTAGGCTTAGTAGGTTCCAAATTAGTTCTTAATTTCGATGAAGGAGACGTGGTTGTTGACAGGAGCCATAAGATTAACAAAAACAAATAAACCTAGCAGGTTCTTATATTTTTGGGTATTAAAATAGCAAATTTTGGCCAGCAGGTTCTTAAACCACTACGTTCTTACACACAGGTTTTTACTGTACCCAAAACGTCCAAAAAAACGAAACCAAACCAAGCAAAGGGAAAAGAAAGAAAAAACCGTTTGTTTTTTTTTTATCGTTTACTTACCAGTACCACTGGAGAAGTTTACCACTCGTCCCCGGGCCTTTTTCACTAATGGAAGGAAGGTTTTAGTGACGTCGATCATTCCCCACAGATTTACGTCTGCGATACGTTTAAAGGTGTTCAGTGGTGTCCATTCTATGGGAAGTGTCTGGAGAATTCCAGCGTTGTTCACCAGGCCCCACAATCCTGTAGCTACGTACAACAAAAGAAAACAAAAGTGTAAGTCAGCCAACGTGCTTACAAAAACAGTTTATTTTGATTGTCCTCAGAAAATTCACTTTGCCATATATTAAGGTCGTGGATGAAGAGTTGTCTCAAAAATACAGCACTCCTTCTCTCCTCATAACATGCAGCCAGGTCTTATAACTGCTTGTTCCCGCTGATGTAAAAGTTGTAACATATTTATTTCGTGATGTCGCCCGGTTAATCAAACGTATACAACGCATGATCAACCAAGTGACACAATTGATAAGTCACACAAAAACATCGATAAAGAAACGGTAGACCTGATTTCGCTTTTATCAAAAAGCAAAACAAAAATGTGCAAAAGTTGCAAATTTTCAATGAGAATTCAAGGTTTCATTCTAACAGTGACAATTGCCTATCTTTTCAAACCAAGTTTTACAAATTAGAGAACTTTCTGGCGATCTTATTGACTTACCAATGACATAATCTAAACCTAAACCGTGCGTAGAAATGTCTAATGTTTTTACAAAGTTTACCTGCACCACAAGCAATCTGCCCTTTTACTTCCTTACAAACGTCATTTATCTGCTGTGAGTTTGTAACATCCATCTGGAATGTTTTTAGTTTGTCGCTTGTTACGGATTTCAAACTCTGTTCTCCTGCTTTCGTTAAACAAGTCGCCATCACGCAAACTCCCATCTCGTCCAGTTTAATGGCGGTTTCTCTACCGAAACCGGAGTCACAGCCCGTAATAAGAACATACTTGCCTTTAACATCAACTTTCGCTCGAGGGATCAGTCTCCTTACGAAATAGATTGCAAGCAAACCGATTACAACTGGAATAAACCAAAACATGATTTACATGTGGCTCCTGAAGTTCAGTAGTCGGTGATCCTTTCTTGTTTATACCACAGGTCACCCAAGCTTAATATAATGTAGTTTATAATATATAATTTGTATGGAGAACAGGAGCATCTAATTTTCAACTCCTCAGACGCGTTACAATGAACGCAATAGCAAGTCTCTTTTTTGCTAAAATCGGCGAGGAATTCTCTGTCTAAGATTTATTTTGTACTATACTGGAATAATCATGTTCACTCAAATAATCATCTCTTTTACGGTGAATAATAAAAAATGATCAATCCAACTGTTATCGAAACGCAGTATTACATACAAATAAGGCTTTTCTTGTATTGTGAGAGGCACAGATAATGAGAAGCTCTCATGTTCGCGGGCTCACTTTGCTCGCCGACTCGTCTCTCTCGGCTTCGCCTTATCTCGTGCCGCTGTGCACGAGAGCCTGGGAACTGCATCTCCAGCCAGGCAAGAATCAAAACATTCCGGAGTGGCGCGGCAAATGCTTATGCCAAACCCTCTTAATTATGTTTTTCCAGCTATAGACATGAATATGCTATACTTACTGGACGTTGTGGAAACTAAGAATATCTTAGTACTTTCCACTAAATGGAAAACTTTCTCCGCTATTCAACTTTACTTACAATGTGAATGAATAATTGTGAATCTCTTAGTTGGTAAAGGAAGGAGGATAGAGGTTTGTAAATGTTTGACGGATTGACAAACAGTTACTATTGCTATTTTTTCAATTCATTTGCTTTTAACCCCTTGACACGTGGAGATTTTTGGCCGAAAAAACGCATTTCTAGACATCTTTAGCCTGGATATGAGCTAAACGGGCTTTAATCTACTCAAAAAGGCATTTGCAACAAGACAGAATGCCTTTCTTTCCACTAGCATCGCGTTTTATCACATTTTTGCTCGGGCATGCGCAGAAATCAAAATTTTGAGATGAGTTTTTGGACGAAAGTTTCCTACGTCTTTAGGCTTTTTGGTTTTTTTGTTTTATTTTTTTTCGCCTTTCTTTTTTCTCACTTCAAGGTAGAATTTTGTCAAATTCTCGTCCAGAGTTTGAGGGCTGAAACTCTCAATCTTGTCGTCAATATTTCGCGCTGTACACTATTTTTTCCACACTTTGTGTTTTTGCTTTTAGCCGACTAGTTTATCTCCGTTATTTTTTCGCCTGAGACAACTGGAAAACGGGACTCTTCTCTATTAGCAAGGAAATACTTTCATCTGGAACAGAATGTTGCCGCTGTAGGTAATCAGATAATTCAACTTGCATTGTTTCCGTTCGTGGAATTTGTGAGGGAATCAACGATGCTGTGGTCACTGTGGGCTGTGTTTCTAGTATTTCATCTGTGAAAGCTGGCAATTCCAATAATAAACTTTCATCACTTTGCTGAAGAAACTGTGGAAATGTGTCAAAATTCACATCGGGGAAAATATCGCCAGTAAAGACATTATCTAAAGATACATATTCGGCCATTTTGGAAAAGGCCCCTGCCGTGAGGGGTAAGTTTTTGTTGCTATAGTGATTGTAATCAATGTGGTGATTGGTGGATTTAGCTGAAAGGACTTAAAATGATTGGCTCATGTAACTGTCTGATTACAGGTGTCCGATTACAGTCAACTCCTGCCTTGCGGACACCTCGCTATTACAGATACCGCTGTTACGGACAGCAGCTAAATCCCCGGCGAAAGTTACAGGCGTTTGACTGAAACAAACTCCCGCTATTACGGACTCTCCAATTACGGACTTACGAACACTTTATTCGGTCCCAACGTCACAATTTTATCGTTTCCTCTCTCGTTATAGCGGACACCGAGCAGTATCTTGGAATATTTGCACAAATATCAAGTCTATTTTTTCTGCTTTTTGAAAATGTCTTTGTCTTTTTTGTTCGATTTCCGCTTCTTCTGTCCATCAATCAAAATTTCTTCATCTTTTTCTCTTAAGGCCCTCTTTGCAGTCTCGCTGCCATGAATAAGCTCGTCCAGTGTGTCCAAATATTATAACATAAAAATTTTCTCGCACCCAACTATTACGGACTCTCGCTATTACAGACACCAAATCGCGGTCCCGAGGGTGTCCGCTATAACGGGAGTTGACTGTATAACCAACTGTCCGATTACACTGTCCGATTATATCTTTGCAAATTAATTAGTGCAAAATACAGCAGTTTATGCACCAATTACATTTGAAGAAATTGTAATGGTTATGATAATAATAATACATTTATATAGCGCTGTTTCCCAGTGGTTCAACAGCGCTTTGCAAGTATAAAAATTCACTGAAAATTAACAGAAAACTTACCAAAACTATCTAAAATTGACTAAATCTAAAAACTGTAAAACTATAATAAAACAATAAAAAATCAGCATCCGTGGTAAGCACTCAAGAAAAGATGCTTTTTGAGTCTACGTTTAAAAGTGTTAGCTGACGTAGAATCTTTGACAGATTGGGATAGAGAATTCCACAATGATGGCTACGCAACGGCAAAAGAACGCCCACCATAAGTTTTACTGAAGATTATAAGTTGAATTCCAAAGCACGTTTTTAGGAAATGAACGAAGTAATCTCGAGGGATGATAATGAGTAAGTAAGTCAATTAGATATGTA